GCGAAAGGACGGTCCATATCATATATATATATTGATGAATAGTATTTTGAAAAAATTTGATTGACTATAAGGCTGTAAAAATTATAATCAATTAAAATTATTAAATAAAAATAGAATAAAAATATATTAAATTATATTTAAATGATTGTTTTAATATAAACAATAAGATTTAAATCTTGCCCCAACCATTTACATCCTACGGTTGCGTGATTAGGTTTGTCATAACGACTCTTTGTTCGCGAATAGCTCGTGTTCAGCTCGCTAAGCAAACGAGTCGAACACGAACATACCTTTTGTGTTCGAAATATAAACGAGCCGAGCACGAACGATGATATTTTTTAATGAGCCGAACACGAGCAGAGTTTGGGCTCGCTCGTCTTCAGCTCGTTTACACCTCTAGTATAGGGCATAAAATTCTATTTTTTAGAGGACTAATTCTCCAAAAAATGGTTTGAATCCAACTCAAGCTCAATTAAGCTCTTGCCAAGTTCATTTGCAAGTTCAGAAGCTTCAGACTTTTTTCAGTTTTTAACATATTGGAAAGCAAATGTGCTGTCTAAATCTGTTTTTCCTTTTCAAGCAAAAAACTCAAAATGGATTGTTTCAAATGTTAACTAGAGCTGAAATAACATCTGATTTTGATTGAGTTGCCATTCATTTTTGTATGAGAACTATTTGACCATAAATTTCTGCAGGCTTTGAAAGCAGCAGGTCAGGTATGGCTCCTAGCCAACAATGACTCTCAGGAAGATATTGTGTATCCCAATGACCCAAAGGTGGTGATCAAAGTCGACGATGACTTGAAGCAGCTCTTCAGGGGAGTTGAGCTCCCTCGGGACATGGTCGACATCGAGAGGGATCTCCTGAAGAACGGAATGAAACCTGCTACAAACACGGCTAAGAGGCGCGCTGAGGCTCAAGTCCATGGCATCCCATCCAAGCCCAAACCCAAGAAGAAGAACGGAATCAGCAAGCGCACCAAACTCACAAATGCTCACCTTCCCGAGCTCTTCCAGAACATAAACGTGCCTGATTCTTGAAAACAAGAAGATTTGAGTTGCTACCTAGTTGGTGACACGCCTAATGTTTATAGTAACAAAACATGGCAGTTTGCAGGCATTCATGACATGTATTTGCAGGTAGACTGCACTAAGAGGATATGCCTTGATGCTTATCATTTGCTGAATTGTCTTAATTTGATTTGCTTGGATTTATTTGTGTGATTTCATGGGTTGTAATCTGGAATGAAACTAAAATTTGAATTATGAAGTTTTGATTTCTCCATCAGGGTTTGATTCAATTTAAGTTTGATCTAAATTGAGATTTGGCCCTTTAATTTGCATATTGACTTTTGTTTCAAACTTAGATTCAAGTTAAAGTTCATTTGGTTTTTAAATGATTTTTCAGCCCAATTTTTATCAGGAATAAGATTTCCTTGATGCTCATAAAGGCTGTTCTCATAACTTAATCCTTAAATTCATCTGCACTTAGATTATCCTTTTTTTTAATTTATTTTAATGGCTTTGACTGGTTTTTGCATGCCAGAAGTCATGCCTTGTTTATTTGACATCCAGAACCTTTTTAGTCATGTTGTATTTAGTATTATAAACATTTAACTAGTAAGTAATTCGAATGATGATTGCATCATTATTTCCTTATATTTGGAGAATTAAGGTGGTATTTGGCTGCACGTTAGATTTATATCAGGTTCAGTAAATTTGAGTTTATCAAATTGAGTCGGTGACGAGAAAAGATGACAAGCGACGTGTCACCTCCCAAAAGAGCTTTTAAGAGAGGTTGGTAGCTCGGGATTTAAATACTGTTTTTCGGTCCTATGTCTAGCCAATGTGAGACTTTTTGTCCGAGACAGACGGCTGAATAAATCACTGCTCATAATTGAATTTATTAAATTCGGATTTAAGGTGACGGAACAAGACAATAGACATATGCAAGGTGAGAAATTTGAATTTAATGGAGCTTTTGATTTAGTATTTATTTTTTTTCTTTTTGGCTAAATTTAAGTTAAATTCATAGCTAAATTCTATTGATAATATGCTATCAAACACTGCCAATGGAGGGAGCAAAAGATTAGGATCTTTAGGCTCTATTTTATTTTATTTTTAAAATATATTTGTTTAGTGTTTTATTATTATTATTTTTCAAATAATTTGAATAATTTTTAAAATAATTAAATAATTTTAGATGTTTTTAGTATTTTAAAGTGTTATTATTACCATCAAACTTAATTTATTTTAAATCAAAATATAAATAAAAAAATATAATTAAAGTAAAAATGATCTCAAATGGCCCCTTGTCCAAAATTTTCACAGATGTAACAAGGAAAGTAATTTAGAACCAACAAACATGGCAATTACAAAGGAATTATGATCTCCGTTATATGGATCTCCAAGTCTATAGTTATTGAAAAAACAAAATATTAGCATTTAGATGTTTAATCTAAAAAATAAACTATTTGAATTTTGAATTTTCATATTTCTAATATTTTGAACTTTGGTAGGAGTATGCATACTTATATATTGGATCCTAATATAGTTGAAAATAGTAATTTGTACTTGATTTTTTATTTTTTTTGGTATTTGGGCTTGGTTGTTCTACAACTACCCCTCGTATTTGATTGCTTATTATTATTAAATTATTGGTTAATTACAATGTTATAAACCCACCAATATCAAGCACGTTTTTTTTCTTTTAAAAATTTTCGTTGGATATAAAATCATTGTCAAAACAAACATCTCATTAAGATAAACCCAATGATATCATGAATACATTGATTAGCTTTCTAATAGATTTAAGTCAAGCACCTAAAATATAGTTGAAATTTTCACAATGCTACTTGAATGGTTTAATTGTCATGAATCTTGTGTGCTTTATAGTTGAACCAGGCTTTCTGATGAGCATAAGATCATTAAATTTTAATATAATCAAGCATTTGAAAGCTCCAACTATTAAACAACCAAGAGGACCAAATATGACCATTTAATGTAGAGTTGATTTTTGAATAAAATCAAAATTTCTTTTGTAGAAAAATATAATTAATGGTTTAATTACAAACAGAAAAGAAAAAATCCTTAGAAGAAATTCTAGTAAGAAATCTCATAGGGAGCCTGGTATTTGATACGGTCCTTACTATAAAACTCTTGGAAAATTTACATACTTAGCAAACAATTTGTATGTATTTACATATCTAACAACATAACTAACATATTTACATTTGTAGAACTTTGATGTTTTGAACATATGCATGGAAAAGTGTATTTGACTTCTAGAAAGTGGTAAAAGTGTTATTTTTGATGTGATATTAAAGACGAGTGTTATGTGTGTAAACATGAATGTTTAGTAGTGGAATATGTAAATAAAAAAGATTTGTGTGCTATGCATGTAAATGCCTCAAATTTCTTTTGAGGGAAAGTAGTGGATAAAGTCTCTTCATATGCCATAAAATGCTTGGAATGCACACTTAATAAAACAATCTCAAAGGATATTGAGCATTGGACTAGTTTTCCACTGGAAAATATGAGAACACAAGTTAGATGGTATCTCCATGAATCTAAAAATCTTTTAAGGCATAATTTTAAGGTACATGGTCTTCACTTATAGATATTAGGATGCCATGCTGATTTAGAAGCTTGGATGAACACATAGTATTGAATAAGGTAATAAAAAGTCTTTATTGATGTTTATTATCACAAAGCATAAAGAGATAAGTAAAGATTATTCAACTTCAATATTTAAGGAATCAATTCCACTTTGTTTCAATTCAAGAGAAAATATATTTTTTACTACTAGGTTAGTTGTCTAACTCTAAGAACATGAAATTATATTACTATAATAAAGTTAAGAGGTTTTATATCAATGTCAAAGATATTTTGAGGTATAATTCTCCTCTCAAGAAGAAGTGCTCAAAGGCCTTTGTCATTGTTGCATAGGAGCTTGAGTGGCATATGCAATATCTTCCATTCAACATTTAAATCTTCTAAGAAGATCATAAGAGACGTCATATAATCCTAACATTCTAATCTTCTAAGAAAAGCAAAAGAGACATCTTAAAATATTTAATCTAAAGAAGGATAAATCTTCATCTCTTTGTCAAGACATATTTCAAGTTGATAAAGATTTTTTTCACATAAACCATTGGATTGTTGAAAAAGCAAGACTTTGTAAGAGAAACACCTAAATCACATTCATGATGAAGCACAAAATAATATTGGTCAGTATCATTTTGCCCATTTCCATTGTTTTATTTCTTCATAATAAGTACAATAAATGTAGTTAACTACATGATAGAAGTTTGAGAGAGCTTATTACACTATTTAGAACATGGGCCTCTCTTAATCTAAAGGTTTTGAAATGGTGAGAGAGAAGTAACATGTACAATTTTCATAATGGATTAAAAATAATTATGAATGGATAAAAATAAACTACCTCTGAAATCTAAGAAAAATAAATAAATAAACAAAAACTTTTACTAATTACATATAAAATATTAGAAAACGCACCCTTAAAAGCATTTTTAAAATAAGAATGTAATGTAGGTGAGTTGACTAATAATTGCATCAAAAAATCCCTCCGTGAAATAATAATATGAATGTCTAGAAAAAAAATTACTTTAAGAGAGACACTCACAAAAAAATTTAACCAATTTCAAAAAGTATATAATCCATATAAAGACTTCAAAATTTTAAAATCAATAAAAATGTAGGTTCTACAAAGTCATGTTTTTTAAATATTCTATCTTACCAAGCAATTTTTTATTATGAATTAATTCAAGAAAAAAATGCACAATGAAAATTTTACATTTTCTTAGCATTCATTTGATTGCATAAAATTTTCAAATTTAAAGAGATCTTACGGAATTAATTTTTTTTTAAAAAAAATCAAGTATCAAAGTGTCATAATTTTGTAGTAAAATTATTTTGGGATAAACATATTCATGCAAAAGATCATACATCAAAATGTTCTAATAAAAATGCAAGAAGCATGAGAAGATATAATAAAGATCAATGAAAATCACAGAGAATCAACGGAAATTTCATTTTCTTTCATTAGGTTTTACTTGAAAAATTTTACTTAAAGATTATTATTTTATATTATAACTTTTTTTTTCTTCAAGGAGGTTATATTTTTTAAAAAATAGTTGTTTGTTTTAAGAAATTTTATTTTTATATTTTTAAAAAGTTTTCTCTTATTTGTGAAGAATTTTATTATTATTATTAGTTTATTTTAGAAAAAAATACCTACGTTTTGAAGTAAGTTTTAATATTTTAGAACATACATATAAACTCAACTAAACGTATAAAAAATTTTATTTTCTCTCTTGGAGTTCACTCAAACTTATGTAAATATGATTCTCTTATAGCACATTTTTTCTTAGGGAAGCCTGAGGCAATTTTATTGCTCACAATAAAAAGTACGAAAGTTAAGTGATTAGGTCCCACTAAAAAGCACAAAAAAGACAATATTCACCCCCAGGGTCCCAATCATCTGATATACAACTCACATAGAAAAGGTTCTAAAAAAATTACAAAAATACCCAAAAATATCTTCAAAAAGTAAAGAGACCAAAATGAGATAAGTAGTGTTTAAATAATGTTATTTGACTCCTTTGCAACAAGCAAACATAAATATCCCTTAAGGCTAGGAGCAAGGAAAGAAAGCAAAACGGCTCTTTATCCATCTCCTACATAGATCAGACCTTCTCTCAGCACCAGGCTACTAGATCAACGCCAAATCATCCTTTAGGCACACAAAAGCATCTAAAAAGGCTATATTCAGCTCCTTCGGTTAGAAATCTACAAAAGGAACATACACACCAAACCTAACAATACCAAAGCATTAGCATTGTAAACCAATACAGGTAGGATGTAAAGGATGACAGGAGTTATTAAACAGAAGACATCAGACAAAAGAAGGATACTACACTTCCCTAGAGTAGAGACTTTGCCTTATCAGCATAAGAAAAAAAGGAGGCAGAGATAAGCAATACAAACCAACGCAAGGATAGTAGAAAATGCAAAGAAAGTCGAAGGTCTGAAACCCCAAACAACAACAATAAGGCAATGCAAAGAAACTAAAAAAATCAGCCACATATGGACATAAAATTTGTTCAAATAGAAATAGAATATTAGTTAGAAACCATCCAATATATATATATTTATATATAT